GTAACCACTGGAGATATCTGAAATGTTTTCTGATGACTGCATACGCCCCAGCCACAGCTGCTAGGGTGTGACAGTGTGGAAGAGGCTGTGGTTTACTGTAAAGAGCTGATAAGGGCTGGCCTTGATCCTGACACACAGACACCTGCTGAGACACAAAGTGAATTATTCAGCAAAATTCAACAGGACACTTTTAACACAACTGATGTACAGTGGTATAATTGATGGTCTTGATTCAAATGTTGTGGTTCATGCAATTTTATGCGGATTTTCAAAAGACAAAAGATTGACATAGGCAATAAACAAACACCATCTACATAAAAAGAACTTTTTGCCACAGTGACGTCATAGCAAACTGTGAAAACAAGCTGCTGAGTGGGTAAAACTGTTCACAGCCTCCATAGTCAGTTACATCAAAATAAAATCCAGTATTAACACTAATCAACTGATTCAGCTAAACAATCAATTCAGCTAATTTTAATGGAGCTAGACACTGTTAGCATCTGGTTTCACTTGGTAATGGTCCATAACAAATATGTAGGCTACTACAACAAAAGTAGCAGTGGGGGCTAATCATCTTGGAATACGGATTGATGGAAACACAAACTGAAAAACTAACAACTGCACTCTCTGAAAATTATTAGATGCTTCATGTTCTGTATTTTTCTTCTTGTCAACAAACTTCATTTAAAAAATCCCAACAATGAATCTATCCAACTAACCATTACTGTCTGTGTAGCCAAAACCCGATACAGCTTACTCCTCTATGCTGTAGACTTTCCACTATGAAAAACACATCACTAAGGCCACACTGTTGCACTGGGTGACATATTCCTTCATTATGACAAACATAAACACTCTAGTTTATTTTGAGTCAGTCCCATATATACTGTCCTGCTATATACTCTCACCAAATGTGTATTAATCCACAGTTGAAAATAGTTCCAAACAAACGCACAATTTACTCCTGTTTGAGTAATCTTATTCAAGTTAAAATTATTTACCTTTTTCTAAATGAAAGCATATATTTATGACCTGATTTTAAAAGTTTATTTATCTTCAGAAGGAGCCAGTTGGCTTGAATGCCACAGAGGGATTTGTTGACAATATCACCAGCTTTTTCCGATTAATAACTTTCAGTGTGATGTAGTTCTTTATTTTGATCTGAGTGTTAAGATTCCTCAGCTTAAAGTATTTTCTCTTGCATTTGATCCAGGAGCATCCAGCTTGTAAAATGAATGTAAATGCACATGGGAGAGAGTGGGATCTTGGGTTATGGGACAGAGAGGAAAGGTGATCATCAACATGAAAGAGAACTGGTGTGTGAAACATCACTGGACTAGTGTTGTGTCTGACACATGAACCATGGAAATGCTCGCTCTCCCACAGATCCTTGTTCTCTGTTTCTTATCTGCAGTCTGATATGCGACACTTTGAAGTCTCAGAGTTGATATGAGAGGGAATTGAAAACGGACGGTTGTTGATGTTTTCTATGTGGGTCATAGGGAAGAGGAGTAGTGTATGAAAATTAAATTTCAGGTATAATAATATATAAATGTTTCCAAATGTATGCTTGTTACCTCAAAGACCAGAAACCTGGCTGTCACAAACCCCAGACAGTGTTATGAGAAAGTATTAGAAGACAGAGGAATATTATTCTGCCTCAGTTTTGTTTTTAACAGTAACCATTTCCTAGAGGCCACAGGAGATGGGAGGGAAATGATGAAACAATATGACACTGCTATTGTGTTCGTTATCAGTTTGTTTCCATACCCACACAGAAAAGTGAAGGACTGGGCCTTTTTTTATGCCACTCTCAGCACTTCAAAACAACACCTGTTGCTCTTTGGATGTCCCCTCCCACAGTCTGTGTTGATGATCAAATCATAGCCATTTTAATACTGATTACTAATGTTTTAAAAATGTAAATAAATCATGTCCTTTTAAATCACCAGCGCTCTTGATTTAAAAAGCAGCAGCTTAATAAACTGTCCATCTTCAGATGCAGTAGCATGAATGGAGATGATTATTAAAATGGAAAAAGTAATTTCTTTTTCATGTGTCCTGCCAAGTCACATATCTGTGTAGTTTATCATGTGTCTCTCTGGCTGGAACAAACCCTTCTCAAATTCCCTCTTACTCATCATGCTGTAGAAAGTTTGACTCTAGTGTATTTCTTGTTAAAGGTCAGAGGCAGTATTGACTATTTCCCTTCCTCAGCACAGTGATGTTGTTTTAAACCCTGAGTTAACCACAGATTGAGCTGTATTTGGGGACTGCCATCCGTCATAGGGGCTGAAAGGGTTGTTTTGTCCCGGCCCCATCACCTTTGATGCATCCCTGCTAAAGACTCCACTGGGGAAGGCACGACCAGCATTTGCCTTGGCTCAGAGGCACTGCATATTCATTTGCTCTTGCTGATTTTTGGCAAGATACTTTTAATTGTGCCACAACCTTTTGTCCATGTAGTACATTATTTTTAAGTTTCTGTTTGTTTGTAGTGGGTGGACCACAGAAGGGTTTTTTCAGATTGTTTTGGGACAAATTAATTTTCTTTGCTACTATTTTGAAGTCAGCTACGTGGACATCCACTGAATGTCTGTGTTCCCCAGAGATACGGGCTTGCCTTTGCCCTCGTTTATTTGCCAGAATAGAATAAGTCAGAGAGTGCTTTATCTTCTCCATGACCACGAACCATCTAGACGAATCTGTGTTTAGCTTTTAGAGGATATGGCTTTTATAATGGATGTCATCAGATACACTCGGATTATTGATTATTATATAATTCCTTGTTTTATTGTGTGTTAAATTACCAGGATGCTTTGGAGTGCCTCCCTCCATACCTTTTCAATGTCAGACTCTGTACCAGTAGCATGATTGTTCACCATCCAGTAATCAATACACAAAACATTGCTGTATCTGTAGTCTGATGTGGCACTGAGGGATAGATCAGTGACATTGTGCAACAATGACTGACAACAACAGTCAAGTCTCTGTTAATGCTACCGCAGCAGTTTTTCAAGCTGATTTCATCACTCTCACAGTGATTTTAGACTTAGACTCTCTGTCTCTCTGTCTCTCTGTCTCTCTCTCTCTCTCTCTCTCTCTCTCTCTCTCTCTCTCTCTCTTTCTCCCTCTCTCCTTTTGTATCCATTTTACCATGTCTTTACCCATTTCAAGTGTCCTTTCCCCACCCACCAGTTTTTAAAAAAAAAGTTGAATTAGGGGTCCTCTATGTTTACTGGAATCCTAGACTAATATTCCAGATGGTGATGAGAGGATGTTGCTCACACTCCTCACTTCCCTTGTAGTGGATTTTTAACAGCATCTCAAAATGATAATAAAAATGATATCATAAAATGAATGAAATTGCTTTGTAAAACTACTTCACCAATGGATAATTTATCATTATCTACCATGTTCTGGTCTACATTGTAATGGTGTCCAATGGGTCATTAATTCAGGGGTTAATAAAATGATTTGAATTCACACACAGCTTGAGACTTAGATTGTAAAGTCAAGTGAAGACAGCAATAAGTGCAATTTGTGTATCAAATGTTTGGTCTCATCACAGGTCAACTATAACTGACTGTTATGCGACACCGAATGTAGCCTAATGTGTTTTTTTTTCTAAAAGAAGCATTGATTTGCAACACATTGTCACTGTTTCAGACTTTAAAGGAAAGGAGGAACCCAAGTGCTGATATGACAAATATTATAATGTTAAAAGATCCACAGCAGCTGTCTTGAATTTTACAGGCATATTTCAAGTTACTGCATTCCTCTGTAGTTCCACATTGAGTTAAGCTTGAGTTAAGGTCAAAACCCCTATCTCTTAAGTGCTCATGCACACACACACACACACACACACACACACACACACACACACACACACACACACACACACACACACACACACACACACACACACACACACACATACATGCAGAGACAGACACAGTCCCCCTCTCCTCTACTAATAAATAATTATCCTTTTGTGTGATGTGGCTTTGCTCCAAGGCTGTGCAGTTTCTCTGAATTGCTCTTAGCAAAGCAGCACTATTATGAAAATGAGAAAATTCCTAAAGAGATGCAGTTTATAGTATATTTTCTGCATATTTAATTATTTTTACATTTAATTAATCTGTTCATTCAGTAATTGTGATTCAATCCAGCACTGTCTTTTGTAAACATGTCATTGAGAAAAAAACACATATCCAATATGCAGAAAAAAAAAAATTCCTAACTTTTGATTTGGACTTTGGACAATATTAAAAAAATCCAGATACAACCTTACCAAACCTCTTCTGGTGCCTTCTGACTCACCTATTTTTTACTTTTCCCATTTCTTCCTTTTATGTTGTTGCCTCACCCTGTTAGAAATGCATTTTGAAAGTGGGGTATATTTCAGTTTACACATGAGTCAGAAGAGTCAGAAGTGATGATGATGAATATCTGATCGAAATAGGTCAATAGTGTAGAGAACTCTCTCAGTGTAGCTTTTTTTTAAATGACATTTTTGAAAATCATTCATTAAGCTTTCAATATGTTTATATTTTACACAGTTGTACATGTTAAGATATCCAGACTTGTAATGCATTCACACTGGAGATGGAACATTTACATTTTAGAAATACAGTTAATAAGACAGTAGCCTAATGAGGACTTTAATCCACTACTCTCACTAACTACATATGCAGCTGTTTCATGCTTTAAGCCCTTCACAACAGTCCCTCATTGTCAGAGGAATTAAAGAAAAACACCTCTCTCCTTTATGCACACACATATTCATACACACTAATGCAAATATTCATTATCAGAAACACTTGAACTTAAACAAAGAATGAAGAGTAACATCCGCCTAGGCAAATGTGACGTTAGTCAGAATTTATTAAGAAGTGCAGTATGTGCTGGCCAGGGAGTCATCGTCTTCTCACTCTCCTTCGCTCCTCCCCCTGTCCAATGAGTTACGCTGTTTTTGAGACTTGAGGAGAGTAAGGAAAGCCAGACATTATAGAGACAGAGGGACAAGGCACTGTTACCCTCACAGACTCACACTACAAACCCACTGCAGATACCCGAGGAGCTTGAACTTTGGTGTCCAGATTTTGGTCATCATCACACATTCAGATAATTTTATTGTTCAGTTCATCACTTGAGGTGGAAAAGATGACTCCTATAGTGTATTGTGAGCATTGAAGTTTGTCTCTGCAGAAAAGTTTGCTCCATGCTTATTGTTTCTTCAGGCAGTGTTTTTGTTACGCTCTTAGGAGTTTATTCCTGTGTGATTTTTTGATTCCTCATCGGGCTCCTCCATTGGAATACCATCACCTCTCCTTTGAAGTATCTGGAACTGCCTGCACCAATGCTGACTGAACCGTATGGAGCCATGTCCATGGGGTCAGATGTTCGAGAACTGACCCTCTTACCTCCAGCGCCTCCTGTGCCGTCTTTACCCGGAGCTGGTGGCGGCTGTGGGATGTCTGTTGGCAGCGGCCAGTGGACCCAACTGCTGGACCTTCACCCTAGCTCTCCCTACAACTCCCTGCCCTCCCACCACTCCCTCATCAAGCAGGAACCAGGTTGGGGGACCACTGACTCCATAGAGGACCCCCACTGTGGACTTGGGGCTTTCACAGTGCACTTCTCAGGCCAGTTGTCAGGCCCCTGTCGGGTCGGGGCCTTCGGAGAACCAAGTGCAGGTCAACCCAGGGTGTTTCCCAGTGGAACCTACCTGCCCGGCTGTGTGGACAGCCCCCCAGCACCCAGGAACCAGGGTAAGCATGCTGATCATCAGTCCCACTTCTGTCTCCTCTCATTGGCTTAGTGATGTAGGGGCCGCGAAACATGAGCAGTTGTTTTCACACATGAAATACAGGTTTTATTCCAGACAGTTTTTTTCTACATTTCCTGCTGCATGTGTTCATGATGCGACTCCATGTTTAGGGTTTGTCAACAGTGTTGTGTCTGAGCAGGATGTTATGTGCTATGTGTGTACTGGGTCATTCTGTCCCATGTGAGGAATAGGCTTGACAGCTTTCCGGTAATAGTCTGGCAGAGATGTCTAATAGTTCCTTTAATGCTTTTCAGCAGAAATTTGACCATCAACCACTGGCAGAGTCACAACAACTGTTAAATTTTATTGTATTGAATTCATACTTCAGAAAAAAAGTACTTAGGTAGATCATTCATATAGTTTCATTGGGATTTATTACTGCATTATTTTCATTTTTGTCAAATGCCATGACTGTAATCATAAACTTTCAAATGATAACTAATGCATCCATCTAAAGTGCTTACCTATGCAGGATATACATTCAAAGTATTTTATGATGTTGGGATAACTTTACCAAGTACCCATGGGTAGAAGATCACCAAAGCGATGGGGTTGTTTTGACCCATTGTTTTTATCTTAGTTTTAATTCTATATAACTGTTGGGGTATTTACTCAAATTAATCTGGTATGGGTGTGAACAGTAGCTCTACTTTAGCTCATTTTGAATTACATGTCACTAATAATATGTGTATCATTTGTAGTTTTCACTATCGTGCACATTGTTTTGTACAGCTAACAATACATTTGTGACGGTCTTAAGGTAAAACTTGATCTCCTCTAACACCAGAAGTGGTAATGAAAATAACACTAGGTCAAAACAACCCATCAATACTGGGTTAAGTTACCCCAGTAATGTCTAAATACCAACCAAGTTAATAAAAAAATACACATATGAAAAATAATGAATAACCTGTTGAGCTGACACAGTCAATGTTGCCGTGGGCATACAAACTGAGGAAAGAAATCTGAAGTGATGACTTACTGCCGTGATCAATAAAGGTCAGAGGGGGTTCAGATGCTTTGTAATCTGGAATTTAAATCTGGAATCAAACTTAATATGTGTTTCCTGTGCAGTGTTAACACACAGATATGTCATCTACACATGTATTGTCTGTTGGGGCTTATTACTCAAAGGTCAGAGGTTTAAACCTGTATGTGTCTGCTGATGTGACGTTCAAAAACAGCACGCAGCGAGTCGTCTTCACTCAGTGGAAAGTAGTTTTTGATGAAGTGATAAAATACTCAGCGTAACTTTCTGCAGACCGCAGGGATTTAAGTAAGAGTTTGTGAGTCATTTTTCTTTGAAACCTTTCAACAGCTGTCTGACTGACTTGGCCTGACTCAGGACATGGCAAACCATCCATGCTGAGTGTGAATGTCAAATAAAGAACTGCATCACATGTGGTTGTTTGATTGATTTAATGTAGCTTTATCAAGTTTAACATTCTGCTTTAACTTGCTATTTATTCTATATTAGAAAACATATATATGTGTTTTGTAATGTGTATTGTAATTTCAATAGCGATACATAACGTTCCCATTTTTGCCATCTAATAAATGTAATAAAGTTAGAATACATGCAATTCCTTACTTCTCAGTGTTGTTTTTATTATATTCTACCGTAGCTCATTTCAGTTCATCAGTGGTGTGTTTGCCAAATTTATTTTCCCACCTGCCATAAATTTTACAAACCACAAGGCCAAAGATAGATGTTACAAGGAAAGAGGATTTAGTAGTCTGATGAATGTCTCTCTGTAGTAACCCTGCCAGGCACTTAGAGCTACTGACCAGATACTGGAGACTTTGCAAACTTCATAATGTTTTCAGTCATTTGTAAGATGGTGATCTAATGACTCAACAAGGGGAAAAAAAAATCATTTTAACTTTCCATTGCCTCTCTTTTTGTTTTCTCTTTTCAGGTTATGGAGCAGTGGGTCTAGACAGCAACCCCAGTTGTGGTCTCACTCCGTCTCACCACACCCCTCAGCTCCCCAGCCTGTCCTTCAAACACGAGGACACACTGTCGCCGCCAAACAACATAGGTAACTGTCTGCATCCTGACATCTTTTCAACAAAATTGTCTCGCTGACTGGAAGGCTGTCATGTCACAGCAAGGTTATATAAGTAACCTGTCATTTTTCATATCACAACAGAATCGCTGTCATCCATTTTCCTTCATCACTCTCCATCTCTGTTCCACACACATTCATATACACGGACATACATAAACACACTCTCCCTCTCGCTCTTTAAGCATAATACTGTATATGGTTAATGAGTCTGGAAATGATAAATTGAGGAAACAGCTAATGGGACTCTGCTGGAATGTCAAAAACTGTCTAGGGACCAATACACTATATGAACCTGAAAAGGACCATTGTTTCTAATTGAGGTGTTCTCTCTTTGAAAAGCAGAGCTGTGACTCTGTCTTTGAAATGAGCTATTATTCATTGTATAAATATATTTTTAGGAGAAGTAATATATTTTTACTTGTGTGTGTTTTGTGTGTGTGTTCTGAGAGAACATTTAATAATACAAAACATTTTTGTACAAGATGATTCTTGGGAAGCTTCTCAGCCTAATATCAGGAGTTAGTGAGCTGTTGTGGGACAATGGAGAGTCTGCAGCTGAACTTTGACGACTCTAATTAGGAACAATTGTAATAATTCATGAATCATTTAAGTCATGTTTTTAGCTAAAAATGTCAAACATCCACTGCTTCTAGCTTCTCAAATGTGAATATTTGCCTGTTTTCTTGGCCTTGTGTGATAATTTAATGACTATCTTTGTGTTTAAAATTGTTGATTGGAAGCAATCAGCTTCTGTGAAAAGGCATTTCTCACTCTTTTCAGACATTCCATAGACCAGACAATTAATCATTAATGAAAAAAATTATTGGCAAATTATTCGATAATATTAATTGTTAACTGCAGTCTTATTTTGAAACAAATTTCTATATTTTCAGTTGACCAGCAGTACCCGCCTCCTCCTCCCATGTTTGGCTGCCACAATCCTTCAGAGTCGTGTCCGAGCAGCCAGGCTCTGCTGCTGAGAAACTACAACAGGTACAATTATTTGTCCCCATGCGTTTATTGTCGCTATATTTGACTCTTGCTCCCTTCAATCTCCCTTCAGCACAAATTCCCCTCTTCCCACATGGTTTTCAGGCGTCTCACTCAGCAATTAATGTCAGAATCTTTCCAATGACACCACACGCAGCTTGTTTACTTGATGGTAATTTTTGGAAGTGTGAATTCTCTCTGATCTTGTGTTAAGCCCTGCGTCTGCCTCTGCACTGTCTGGATTGTGAATCCTAATTTGTTCTGAGGTTAAGTGCTGCCCACTGCTGCTCAGCAGGCCAAAACAAACACTGAGTGATCTACTGCTGATGTGTCTGAGTCCACCCTGAGGAAAAATGAGGAGAAAAGTAAAAGAGACAAGCTCAGTGAAAGTGAGTTTAGTGGGGGGGGGGGGGGGGGGGGGGGGGCGGGGGGNGGGGTGTGGCAGCTAGGACGAGGGAATCAGCTTATTTTAACCTCTGGATGTGTTTTCAACCGGTTTTCATTTTGATGCAAAACATCTCAGAGGGCAAATTAGGATGAAATTCTTTGCATGCTGCCCTGTGATGTTGTTGGAGAGAAGGAACATGTGCAACCCAAATACTGGAACAGCACTTGATAAGAAGGGGGAAGGCTCCACTGTTGTTAGTGCTTATGGCGTGAACTGGAAACCCTCAGACCAACACAGAAACATGCACACACATACACACACACACACACACACACACACACACACACACACACACACACACACACACACACACACACACACACACACACACACACACTGTGTCAGATATCAGTGAGTCCTTCCACAGTTTAACATAGTTCAGAGCTGATTAGCGAGCCATCATGATCCTTCCCTCAAGGACTTCTCGAGGAATGCCGTCCAGAATTCCCCCGAAACTGTTCCCCACCTTTAATGATACTGAGGACAGAGTGATGTCATGCATTGGTCCATGGTGTACTAGGCACGGAGGCACTCACCCCCACAGAGTGCACAATGGCATGTCCAAGTGTGTGTGTTTCTGTACTACGTGCGTGTGTGTGTGTGTGTGTGTGTGTGTGTGTGCACACTGGTGTGATCTGCCAAGGTAAAGAATGGCTCAGAGCCCATGTTTTTTAATGAAGCCAGTGAGGAGTGTGGTGGGTGGACAGGATGTGTTAATAAGCCAACCGTGTGGAGTTCCCCCTGAATGAAACGTCTTCATTATCCATATAAGGGAAGATAAATGACAGGAAGAATGCTGTAACATAAATATTTTCAGCATTGTCTAATTTCTGGATTTTCCCAAAATAACTTATTAATTATAAAAAAAGAATAATAAAACAGAAACTCACACAGTGTAAAATCAGAGCTCACCTTATTCCATAACCTTTTCATTCACTAATGTATTAACATATGTCATTGCCTTGAAATTTCACAAACTGCTTGTGTTTCACTCAGTGATAACGTATACCAAATGGCGTCTCAGCTGGAGTGTGTAACGTGGAATCAAATGAACAGCCTGGCATCTTCCATGAAGAGGTGAGTTCTTTTCTTTACATAATACATCTAATGTATTCTTGAGTCCTGACCAGCGTTTGTGGTGGAGGAGGAAGAGAAAGATTTGACCAGATGGCTGTTGGCCTACTGCCTGGGGAAATCAGGAAGCGGAGAGGAGCATGATAGTGTGTGTGTGTGTGTGTGTGTGTGTGTGTGCGCGTGTGTGCAGTCTTGTACTTTTACAACATTCTTTAAAGACTGTTTTGAGTTTTTGCTAAGTTAGGACATTTTGATAGACGCTCACTCCTTAAATTACTTGCTTTTAGATTTAAAGCCCGTAAAACCTTGGCTTTGAATCTCAAATACTTTCTAAACATTAGATATTAAGAACCAATCAATCAACAATCAAAGCAAAGTAAAAAAAAAATGCAATTAAAACTCAAAAACTCAGCTGGACTGCTTCATCAGGACTGATTCAGATATGGCTAAATCCTGACTGATGCAGGGAAGGACATGATATCCTCTCCATGTCAAATCATTGGGCAGAGCAACACAGACAAGAGACACAAATACAGAGATTTCTCACGTGAAATAACCAAAACTGTTTTACGTTTGGCAGAAAATAATGTGCTCATGTAGGATCCCAACACTTGAAACTAAATATATTTCCAGGGCCTTTAAACTCATGTTAAAGTTAGTCATGTAGTTGTGATGTCTGTTAGCTGTGAAAGAGAGAAAGACTTGTGTGTAATTTCTATATAAGTGAGATTATGGCTTTATTGTGTTTTTAATCTTGACAATCTTAATGGTATGATCAGAATCTGTCATTAGCCTTTCATACTGTGCCCACAGTAACAGTTTTGCGCAAAAACTTTTCAATGTTTTAATCAATTTGTAATTTTGCCTCTGTCCAGCGGAGGCCATACAACCAGCTATGACAGCGACCCCACAGTCCCAGTCCCACCTCCACCCATGCTTGTGAGTGCCCAGTACCACATACACACACACAGTGTCTTCAGAGGACTGCAGGTCAGTTGACACGCATTCAGTTTATACAGACTAACAGTAAATAAACACACATATTGAAGCCCTGTTTAATCTTTTTCTTCTTCTCTTTCTTAAAGGATGTCAGACGTGTACCTGGCATTGCTCCTCCAGTTGCGAGGTCCTCAGAGACCAATGAGAAGCGTCCATTTGTATGTGCTTATCCTGGCTGCAGCAAGAGATACTTCAAACTGTCACATCTGCAGATGCATGGCCGCAAACACACAGGTGAGATGACACCGGTGATTTACGCCACTGCTCAGACCTCAGCTTCTCTTCATAAATCACAATGACAAACTCATGCAGACAATAAAAGTTCAGTGAAAAGACAAAAAAAGGGATGGTGTATTGTAAGGAAGAAAGGAGAGTTGTTATGCTCAGGTTTTGAATGTGTGTAGCTGTGTGAGTGGAAACTAGATCAAGTCGCATAAATGGTGATTAAAAAAAAAGTGCTTAATTTTGACACGGTAATGGCACAGATGTGAAACTGAGCACAGGGAAAATACTAGTACCGATGATCTTGATATCTTGGAATGTGGGTGGTGATGATGATGATGATGATGATAGTTTATTTTGCAGGAGAGAAGCCTTACCAGTGTGACTTCACAGACTGTGGCCGCAGATTCTCTCGCTCAGACCAGTTAAAGAGGCACCAGCGCAGACACACAGGTACACTCACATCACCGCTGCTGTATCTGCACAGGAGAGCTCATTGCTTCAATTTTTTTGTTTTTGTTTGTTTTTGTGAATTTGAAAATGATAGAAATCTGTAGGTATAGTTTACATCCCACAATTGGCCTATATAAAAACTTCAAAACACAAAATCTAGATATTATAAGCAGATTGTTGGGACCTGATATAATCAAATAGGACTTTTTGACCAACAGATAAATAAATAGTTAAAAGATTTAGTATTTCCCCACTAGAATTATATTCCTCAGAGTGTGGAGAAGGCCCTAAAAATTAACAGACAATATAAGAAATCCAAATAAACAAAACATTTTAGTGATTTTATTTTTCAATGTCTGATCAAAATTTTCCAAAATGATTGTGGGTTATTGGATCAATCAATCTCCACAGTGATCAGTCCACCTAATCAAATATTTAACCTTTTGACCCTCACCCCACTCCCTTCACATTTCTGTCTCTGCCTCGACCACAACCGCTGCCATCTCTGTGTAGGAGTGAAACCCTTTCAGTGCGAGACGTGTCAGAGAAAGTTTTCACGGTCAGATCATCTTAAGACTCACACTCGGACTCATACAGGTAAAACAAGTGCGTATAACTTTATTTTCTACCTCTCCATTCCTCCATTTTTTTGTCAAAATGGTCCCTCTGACTTTGAGTCACGTACAGCAAAACAGCAGCTCACATTCCAAAAGGCTGAATTTCCTCTAAAGCAACGATTTCTATTGTTTTTCCTTGTTCATCCCCTCCTTGTCAGGTGAGAAGCCCTTCATCTGCCGCTGGTCCAACTGTCAGAAGAAGTTTGCCCGCTCTGACGAGCTGGTGCGCCACCACAGCATGCACCAGAGGAACCTGACCAAGCTGCAGCCTGCCATCTGAACAGCGACGAGAGGAGGAGGAGGAGGAGGAGGACGAAGAGGAAGGTGACAGTATGTCGTTCCAGCTAGTAGAGAAAGACGCTTGGAGCCTGGTCAGCGGTAACGGTGCCTTGTCAGACTTGCTGAAGTGGTGAGCACAGCAGATGCTTCCCTCAGCCAGACAGAGGACGTCAGGAGAACAGACTCGCTGATGATCCACGAGATCTTTGAGACGCACCTCATCGAGCACTCGCTTATTTGACATTAAAACTCAGACTTTGAGAGGGTACAGTACCACAGTAATTCTGAGCCAAGAAGAAGATGTCTTTTTTTATGTGAGATGAGGAAAATGTTGACACACTATTTTGGAAATTTTAGTAACACTTGCACTGGCTTTCTTGTTTTATTGTTAAAATTGTGTCACCTTGAAAATGTGCTGGACTGTGTAACTGGATTTATGAAATGGACAAATGAAGCTGACCACGGAGAATCTTTGCTTTGGGGAATGTGAACATCTTTATACTCTTACAGTATCAGGATACTCACCAAAATTTCTTTGTATATATTTGTATTTGCTTACATCTATAGACATTCCTTTTGTACTTTCTATGTTTTTTTTGTAAGTTTATAAAATGTTGATTCACTTCGGTTTCAAGAGTAAAAGTGTGTGTACATGTGTGTGTGGGAGAGAGTTGTCAGGTTAAGAGGCCACCTGTGAGTGGTGGTGCTGGAGGGGTGAGGGCGGGTGACAGACAGTAAAACAGCACCCCACCGTGGCTCTGACAGGGTGCAGGTCTCACCCTCCTAAATCTCCGACACACATCTTCATAACTACGAACATCTGGAGCCCAGTAAATCTCATTAGAAAAGACACATACCTCAGTGTCAGCTGGCTGTACTTCACTGACTGCCCCCTTTCTGCATAGGCTGGGCCCAGACACAAACACACACACACACACACACACACACACACACACACACACACACACACTCAATTCTCTAACAGCATCCAGATTAGAAAGGCAGCTTTACATCCTTGAGCCACATGATGGCAGTATCAGCATTGTCAGTCTAAGCAGATGGGACTCGAGCTGTGAGTGAGGCTGAAGCCAAACTACAACTTATACTTTCACACCTCAGTCTTCAGATAATCCACCTTCCTCTCACCTTTAGTGGCCGTCGAGTATCCACAGTAAATATGTTAATGTCAACAACAGTGAAAAAACAGGAGGGCACGTTCTGAATATGCCCTGAACCATCAAATATACATGGTGTGGATGGAGTTGTGTGTCAGCTCGTGTGCAAGTCTATAAGTGATGGGATGATTCAGCTACAGCAGGTATGTTAATAAAATATGACCCAATGTTGGCACAGAGAGCTGCTGCACGGCTCTGTGGCCTAATGATGTCATATACCTGGAAAAGCAATGTAAACACGCACATACAAGCGTATATATTTAGCTGTTGGCTACATGTTCACGCATTGGAAACCACAATGCACATTTACTGAGGGCATTTCACTCTGCACCTGCACAACTCATTTCACTTCCACCACAGACATTCGTCAAACTAACAGAAGGATTCAAAAGCCGTTCTCCTATTTCAGGGTCACATACGGCTCATTTGAAGTGGTGATTCAAGTTGTTTTCCAATCCACATAATGGCTGTGAGGTAGTATCTCTGTGATGTTCTGTTTTTTTTTTTGTTCTTTTTGCTTCTTAATCCAATGCACTTTGATTAAGAAGTGCTTCTCTTTGTTCTCTCTCTGCAGGGGCGCCAGGAAGCCAAGGAAGATCAGAGGGACAGCAGAGTTGAACATTTTACTCACTCCAGTTCACTCTTAACTGGAGACTGCTGAGGCCGTGTGGAGCATGAGGAGCGCATGCTTTAAACGTCCTCATTCATTACTGCCGTCATTATCACACACACTCAGAGAGAGACACTGACCTCAACCTTACATTGATCTGCCTGATCTGCATTCCTCAAATTGATTGAGAAAGTTTCTGATTTTGAGATATCGGCTAACACAACAAATGTCTGCGCTCCACTCCCATTCTGCCAAACGTTACCACCGATCTGAATGCATGAACACACACACACACTTACACACACGTGCACACACACACACACACACACACACACACACACACACACACACACACACACACACACATACATGCACACACGCCACCAGATGCCCCCTCAGCTGTACTGCTGGCTGTTTGCCTTTAAGGGGTGTCAGCTTGGGTAATCTCAGGTGACATACACCTGGTAATGCACAGCCCAAGACATCTGTAGGACAGCAGGCCTGCTAACTTCACAGCCTCTAAACCCACATGCAACCCCCCTCAGAAGGTTTCTTTTCGAATGCAAGTGCGATATAACCTCACTCTCACACTCAAAGACAGGAAACAAGTACGGTTCATTCCATACGTGCAAGTTCCAACCTTTTTTTTCTTCACCCTTTTATATTGAGTTATACTGAATAATGAGGCTTTTCATTTACTTGGTCTAATAAGGAGTGACATTATTTTTCAATATGTCATCCAGTAAAGTCCCAGGTGCATCCAGCATCAGCGTACAGCCCCTGTTGTGATTCTTTGGGCCAAAAAGACATTATTTAACCTCCAGGAGCTGGAAAGGTCAGTGCACATGTAGCACACAGAGGCCTCTCTGAGCCCCAGGGGATTGTTAACAAGGTCAAGGCCCCAGAGAGGAAACTTAACGGGGTTACAAGGAGGCCTGCGTGTAAAAACAATGCTACACCAACAGGAGGCGCTGTCAGGGACTGTTCATATTAAGTGAAGCATGTTTTTAGTTGTATTCCCAGACAGCAACCCCCCTCCTCCCCTCAGGCTAGCTCTCTTGTGCAGAGCTGCTGCTCCACAGTCTGAGGGGCCTAGGGGTTCTTGGGGGTTTTCCCTGTGGTATAGCAGGGAGCCTGAGGGGCTCCGGTGTGTAGGAGCTTTGGGAATGCGGAGGCCTTGGGGGCCTGGAGCTCAGATGGGGCCTAGGGGGTAAACTTTCTCACTCAGGGAGCAGAGATGGAGCAGATACAGAAAGACAACGAGGGGAAAACACCTTGAGAGGAGTCTGTCAGATATGCAGGCAGCAGCCGGGAAGATCCCATGAGGGTACACAGGCACAGAAACACAAATACACACATGTATGTATACTCTAAACCTAATCCAATATGTGGGCCAGCAAAAAGAGACAGATAGAGCTTTTTAAATATTCCCCTCTCTCCTCAACCGTCCCGTCTTTCATCTTCTCCTCTTTTCTCCCTCCTGCTGTCTCCTCCATTCCGCTGGAAGATATTAACTCCTAACAGGATTAGATGTGTCTCTATCATGTGAGATACAAGATCACAAACCAACCCAAGCTCCCCGGGGAGCAGCGGGATGGGACGGATGAAACAAGGCCTCATCTCCCCCTCTCTTCCCCTCCATCCCAAAGGTATCCAGATGCTGGGACATGGGGAGAGACGACCAGAGAAAGGAGGGAGATGAATGTTGACAAATGGAGCGAGAGAGACGTTTTGGCCAAAGATATCAGTCTCACTAGGATAGCTTTGTTTCCACCCTCACTGTCATCAACTCCAAAACAACTCTATTGTGGGCCACTTTGTCCTTCTTTTAATTAAAACTTGAAAACTTTTCTCTCAGTGTATGTCATATGTGATATGCAGCAGCCTGTCAGAATGAGTGGGCGACTAAAGCAGAGAAGCGGCCTGCAAAAGCTGGTTGAAACTGATTTTGAGTCAACCTGACCTCAGTCCAAAGAGCTCCTCCATTACTCCAGAGGCAGTTATAATTAGTTACCAACTCACTAGCTTTATGGTTCCTAAATTGAAATGTATTGCTCTTTAAAGCCTTCTCTCTAATTGTGTAGTCATTAATGGCCTATTCCCTATCTACACTGCGTTGATGGGCACATAAAAACTCATGATGATAGACGAGCACCAAGCGCAGTTGTTAAAAGGACACAAGGTTTTCTCTTGTTCCGCCTAGTCACCACTAGGAGGAGTAGAGTCCTGTGGTGGAGGGCAGAGGAGGGATAACCATTTTCTCTGAGAAGACATGAAAGATTGATGGATTCCTTCAAGCTTCATAGAAACATGCAAGGCGCTGAATTAGCCTACATTCACATGACACGCATCTACAATCACACAACCTGCATGAACGAAGAAGAAACGGTCTGTGTATGATCAGGGCTGCAGCCAGCATTCAGTGCAGCCCCTCAGAAGATTCTGACTACACACCAGAAATGGGGTGTCTAATTTTATTTAAAATTTTTCAAATTTATTCAGTCAGCTAACCGTTAAATAATATTTCCTGTAAATACACCCTTAGAAACTTGAGCTATGTTTTTAGAAAGAAATCTATTTTTCTTTTTCTTGTTGGTTTCTTATAAGTCCATGTGGGCTAGGATACACAAGACACAATAAATGACATAAGGAACTAACAGGAATCGGCATGTAAGATACCATCCATGTGCTTTAGGTTGGTAAAACTCCCAAAGTCCCAGAAAAATTACAGAGGACATGACCTCAATGTCCTTACTGGCAGGTACAGCCTTGTGCATCATCATCTGATCTTAATTTCTTTAGTTTGCATATTATCCTTAAATACACAGCTTATGTGCTGTTGACCGATTATAACACATAACTATATAGTATGTAACTACTAGCAAACAAAGACATAGTAGTAATTCTACTAATTATGATGGTGATAGCAATAATAGCAACAATGTAATTATTGTAAATGTTATGTACCTTAATGGGAAAAAAATCTGTCCTTCCTTGGGCAGTTATGACTGCAGCCTCAGCAAGAAAACTATAATCATAATTTGAGTTCAAATGAGAAGAGAAAGGGAAAGCCTATCCATTGAGATGACATGTTAAGGCATAGCATCATATAAAGTTCCCTTTCAGTATTTAAGTGTTTTGTCTAAACAGCTCGATAATGAACAGAGATTGTATTTCCTTTTCTTCTTCTTCTTTTTGCTATCATGCATGTTATTATATAATGGGCAGAAAGCCTGTTATGAAAGCCTCAGCACAGGATGGGTCAGATGTCCCAAAGATCATTACAAATCCCCAGGGTGGAAGGAACAAACACAAGAAATAAAAGACAAAGATGAGGGAGCGCAGATATACTCAGATGAAAAATAGGGCATCATGATGAGAAGAGTCAGAGAGGAGCGGGGGGAGCTGAGAGAGGGGGGTTGTATGTGCTGTATAGTTTGTTATGCAGGCAGTTTAATTGTAGTAGTCATTTTTGGTTTGCTGCTGTTAATTGCTGATATGGAAATTGCAGTGTACTATGAATAAAGCTCTTTAAAAGGAGATCGTTGGTGGACAAGACTAAGGGGGGAGGGGGCTCATGGTCGTAGACATTAATATGCTACACTTTATGACCCTCCTCTCCCACTGTCTCCATCCTGTTCTCACCCAGAGGGCTCATTATTGTCAGTGGAGAGGGGTTGATCTACGCAGACACTCATATGAGCGCCGTCTGAAGGCATTACTGTACACACACTCCCCCAGTGTGAATGATTAGGATCCTATCAAAAACAGGAGGGGCAGGCTGTTAAACATGACCGCGAGGCAGGTTGTGCAGAGTCCA